TATTCTTGCAATAATAAGCTTTTAATCTTTTAATCATTTTTTGGTTTTGTTTTGTTTTGTTCGCCGTTGTTGCTTTAGCTATTTCTTTTGTTTTGTTTTGGGGGAAGAGGTTGGGGCCTATTTAGAGGGGAGGGATGTGGTTTTGTTTATTTTCTTGGGGGGGGGAGGCTTTAAAAAAACCTTGCTATCAAGCTGCACTACGCAGCAGATGCCCTTAGTTCGAATCTCCAGTGGAGCATTCCGAACTTGGGTTGTCTTTGGCAGTTTTAAGGCTCTCCGCTTATTTGACTCAGTCTTGTCGGAGATGGGCGTTGAATGCAGCGGTGTGGCCTCCTCGATAGCTTCACCGAGCTGAAAGGGATGTAAAACCTATACCATGGCCAGTGGCCAATGGCATTACGCCTTTCCATCGTGATGTCGATTGTTGTTGAAAGGGGAACTCTAAGAAACGAACCTGTCCATATATTAATATAACTATTGCTTGCTCAATTTCGTTTGTTCACGGTTAAAATGACAAAACCAAATTGCTGTTTAATTTTCTCAAGTCTTTGCACTCTCTTCTGAAAGTGGGATGACCAACAGAATCTGAAAGCCCATTAATGAAAGTCACAGAAAACTAAGGTTTTCACACGTTTTCTTTGATGTTAGCCTAAAGTGGGTCTTTAAAAAATTGACAAATTTTCATCAACACCACACCTTAACACCCGCCTATGAAACGAGGTCTTTATGTGACAGATAAAGTCTTTATCTGACAGATTTGCATGTTCATTGGTCTAGTCAGTAAATGCTCCTTGGCTTATATTATATACTGTGCAGCGAATTATGTAATTGATTATGCATAATTATTGTCATTTAGAGAGATATTGCTTTACCTTTCGTTGACCTGAATACTAAGAAGTTGTTGGGTTGTTTTTTTTAAATTTACTGTGCTGGGTGTGACGGCGAAGCACCTAACCGCTACACAACAAACATCGATTGGGGTAGGGGTGTATACTTTACTTTACCTGTACTTCCACTGGACTCCCCAGGTGCGACACTGAAGGTTATACTGGACATCAATCTTGAGACGGCCATCATTGTGTCGGCGGCCATCTCTCTGGCCTACACGCTTGTGGGGGGTCTTTACTCTGTGGCCTACACCGACGTTGTGCAGCTTATTTGCATGTTCATCGGTCTAGTGAGTATGCTCCTTGTCTTGTACTGTATAGTGTGCTGCGAATTTTGGGATGAAGTATGCATAATTAGCATTTATAGGCGCAAGGGGGCTATCCCAAAAATTGTTGTTTTGAGAAAATCGAAGGGAAACTTTTTGGATCCTTATTCAGTTTCTTTAAAAGACAAGGAGAGTTTTCTCTATTCTCTATAACCACA